TACTTTATATAATTAAAATAAATTAAAATAATTTATATTAATTATATGTAATTCACACGAGTATTAAAAATAGCTAAGTTTTGAGCTGATATTACTTATAATCGATGAATTAAACAAGAATTTAAATTAGCTACTACCAAATTATTATAAGAAAATATACATGTAAATGTATATAATAATAAAAGTGAAAAAGTAAATAATATGATTTTAGATGACAAGATTTTATTAGATGTTGAACCTAATTTAATTGAAGATAACTTTGATGATCAAAATGATGAAAATTTAGAGATAAATCTTAATGATCATTTGGATGAATGGTTGAATATACTTCAGCAAGAGATTAATTCTAAAATTGAGTTAGATAATAATTTATATTATTTTAATATAGATATCAAAAATATTGAGCATCTAGCATAAAATACTAGTGCAAAATGAAAATTGGAAAATATATTTAAGTATGATTTAAATTATCCTTTTTAAAGGATCATTTAATTTTTTTCATTTATTTCTATTATTATTTATGTATGAATTACAAATATATTTTATTTTGAATTATTATAAATAAAAATTTGAAAAAAAAAATTAGGACTTTTCTTTATTAAAATAAAATTTTACAATATTTATATGAACAATTCTATAAAGAATGTCAAGAAAAAAAAAGCATAATCTCTCACTATTTAGAATTATCTTCAAGAAACCATTCTGATTAGTAATAACTTTAGAAATATAAAAGGTTATTAATCAAAAATAGAAGGTCTTTAGATTCTAAAAAAAGGTAAATATATTTATTAATTTTTTAATATAAATAAAAAAAATTTTGACTAATGATTCTATTTTCTTTTTATAGGAACTTATCTTCTATTTTAAAAGTTAAAAGTCATTCGAATTCTAAGGAGAGATTATTTTTTTTAAAAAAATAAGATAAAAAAAAGATTAATTAGTATTTTCTCTATATTTTTTAAGGATACTTATCTTTAATCAAAGATGAGAATCTCTGAATCCTTTAAAAAAATGACAATTAGTTTTTTTTAAATATTAAAAAAAAATTAATTGTCTTTTTTATTTTCTATTTATAGGAATTTACTTCTGATTCAAAATGAAAAACTTTAGATTTTACAAAAAAAAGGTGAGTTAATTATTAGTTTTTTTTTTATTATAAATAAATAGATTCAACTAACGCTTTTATTTTCCTTCTATAGGAACTTACCTTTCATTTCAAATCTTAAAAGTCTTCTGAATTCTATAAAAAGGTAAGCAGAGTGGTATTTTTTTAAAAAAAAAAATAAATAAATAAAATATTAACTAATATTCCCTCTATACTTTCTATAGGAACTTACCTTTGATCAAGTATGAAAACCTCTGGATCCTACAAAAAAAAGGTAATTAGTTTTTTTTTAAAATAAAGTTAAAAAAAAAATAATTGCTATTTCTATTTCTCTTATATGACTTATCTCTGATCTAAGTCAAAACCTTTGGATCCTATAAATAAAAGATAGGTTAATTATTAAAATTTTTTTAATACAAATAAAAACTTTTGACTGATGCTTTTATTCTTTTTCTATAAGAACTTACCTTTTATTCTAAGTTTTAAAAGTCCTTCAAATTCTACAAAAAGTAAGTAGAATGTTATTTTTAAAAAAAAAATAAAAAAAATATTAACTAATGCTCCTTTTATACTCTTCATAAGAATTACCTTCGATCATAGATGAAAACTTCAGATTTTACAAAAAAAAGATAATTAGTTTTTTTTATTAAATAAGTTAAAAAAAAATAAATAAATAATTGCTGTTTCCATTTTCTCTTATAGGAACTTATTTCTGATCTAGAACAAAATCTTTGAATTCTACAAATAAAAGGTGAGTTAATTATTAAAGTTTCTTTTATTATAAAATAAAAAGATTTTAACTGATGCTTATATTCTTATTCTGTAGGAACTTACCTTTTATTTCAAGTCTTAAAAATCTTTCAAATTCTACAAAGATAAGTAGAGTGTTATTTTTTAAAAAAATAAAAAAAAATATTAACTAATGCTTCCTCTAAACTCTCTATAAGAATTAACTTCAATCATAAATGTAAACCTCAGATTTTACAAAAAAAAGGTAATTAGTTTTTTTTTTAAATAAAGTTAAAAAAATAAATAATTAATTAATTACCATTTCATTTTCTCTTATAAGAACTTACCTCTGATTTAGAACAAAACCTTTGGATTCTATAAATAAAAGGTGAGTTAATTATTAAAGTTTCTTTTATTACAAAATAAAAAGATTTCAACTGACACTTCTATTCTCATTTTATAGGAACTTACCTTCTATTTTAAGTTTTAAAAGTTTTCTGAATTCTACAAAAGATAAACAGAATGAATTTTTAAAAAAATAAAAAAAATATTCCCTTTACACTTTTCATAAGAACTTATCTTCAATCAAAGATAAAATTGATTAAAGGTGAAAATTTCTGGGGTTTACAAAAAAAAAGTAATTCATTTTTTTTTAAAAATAAAAAAAAAATAATTGCCATTTCATTTTCTCTTATAGGAATTTACTTCTGATCTAAGACAAAACCTTTGAATTCTAAAAATAAAAGGTAAGTTAATTATTAAAGTTTTTTTTATTACAAATAAAAAGATTTTGACTGATACTTCTGTTCTACTTCTATAGAAATTCACCTTCTATTTCAAATCTTAAAAGTCTTCTGAATTCTACAAAAAAGTTAGTATTATTTTTTTTTAAAAAAAAAAATAAAAAAAATATATATTAACTAACACTTCCTCTATATCCTCTATCGAAATTTACTTTCAATCATGAATGAAAACTCTGGATCCTATAAAAAAAAGGTAATTTAACTTTATATATTTTTTTAAATAAAGTTAAAAAAAATAATAATTGCTATTACCTTCTAATTTAAGACGAATCAAATAAAAGAAAGGTAAGTTATTAATTTTTTTTTATATTTAACAAATTAAAACAATTTAACTATAGTAATTTATCTTCAATCCATGATGAAGACTTTTGGATCTATGAAAAAAAATGAGTTTTTTTAATACAAGTAAAAAATATTTTGATTGATGCTTCCATACTCCTTCTATAGAACTTATTTTAAAAGTCTTCTGAAATCTACAAAAAGATAAGTAAAGAGTTATCTATTAAAAAAAAATAAAATATATATATTATTATCTAATGCTCCCTATATATCCTCTATAGGAACTTACCTTTGATCAAGAATGAAGAACTCTGGATTCTATAAAAAAAGGTAATTAGTTTTCTTTTTTTAAACAAATTAAAAAAAAATAATTTAATTTTTGTTTCTATTTTCTCTTCATAGAAATTACCTGAATTTATTAGGTTTTTTTTTTTTAAATAAACTAAAAAAATTTAACTACAGCTTTTTAATCTGATTGAAAGATAAAAAAAATTTATAATTTATTTTCTGCAAAATAAAATTAAAATTACTTACTTATTTTAATTAATTGTTTTATATAATCTTAATTATATCACATATTTATAAATATACAAAATGCATTGTATTATAATATTTAAGTACAGTACAATATTTAGAACAGTACTAGTACAGTATCAATATAGTATTAGTATAATTTTCAATCCTGATTGTACCTAGTTACAACTATATAATACTTATTATCATTAATTATAATTAGTTGTAACTTAATTTTAATTAATATTATAACTAATTGCAATATTATAATACTTATTTATTATTAGTTGCAATTAGTTATAGTGTTATCTTTAAATAAGAGTAATAAGGTTGTATTAATATTACTTTTTATAGTATTTGATAACCTTTTAAGATCTAGTTTTTTAATAGTTAAGAGATAAGAAATATATCAACTTTTAGATTTTTATTTATAATATTCATAATTGATCACTTATTATATACAGTTAACTCTTGATATAGCGAACTCTTGATATAACGAATTTTTTGAATAAATATAATAAAAATACTCTTATTATAGTGAATTGGTTAATTAAATTTCTTAAAATCTTCACTATAACCTTATAGCGAAGTTGAGGTTTAGAACATAGAGTTCGTTATAACAAGAGTTGACTATAGTAATAAATGACAATTATATTAATAATTTATTTATTAATTTTTTTAAATTAATAATAATTAAAATTAAATTAATTATATTTATATCTTTTTAATTTTTAAATATTTTATATTTATTTAAATATAAAATTAAAGAACTTATTTTATTTAAAAAATTTTTATCAATTTATTTTATTTTAACAGAACTTAAAAAAAAAAAGTAATAATAATTTAATATTTTACTTTAAAAAAAATTAATCATTTGTTAAGAATATAATAGAAGAAATATAAAAAAAGAAGAAATAATTTTTTTGTTTTTGTTTTTGTTTTTTTTTTTTTTTTTTTTTTTTTACTTTTACTTATTTTTTTGTTTTTTTGTTTTTTTTAATAAAATGCATTTATATAATAAAATAATAAGATATAATTAAATACAAATACAAAAATAATAAATAATATATAAAAAAAATTTGGCATAATTTTTTAATATCTATATTATATTCAAAAATATAAAAAAATATAAAAATATCATAATTATAATAAATATAACTTATCTTTAATTTTTTATAAGATATTTTTTTTTTTGATTTTGTGATATTTAATATTCAGTTATTTATAATAATTTATTTTATTTTTTATTTTTATTTTTTTTTTTTTTTTAAAAAAAAATAAATAATTTAAAATTCTATTTTAAAAATTTAAAAATTAGTATAATATAAAGATTATTTTAAATATAAACATTATTAAATTACAATACCTATATCTTTCATCTATTATAACATTTTTATATCTTATTATTTTTAAAAAATTACACTATAAAAACTTTTGTTAATAAATTATTTTAAGTTACTAATAATTTAATTTACTTTTTAAAATTAAACTTACCAAATGCATTTTTGATTTAAACTATTTAAATATAACTTTACAATAAATAATTATACAGTTTATATATATATTCTATTTCATTGCCTTTGTTTTTTTGAAAAACCTTCAGAAAATTGTGTAAATTGTTGAGGTTCATTTTCATTATTTCTATTAGAATTATTACTTAAATATTTTAATTCTGGAATGTTAGCCAGTATAATTTTATCCCAAAAGCTTTCAAAGCTTTCTTTAAAATTTTCAGTAATATCAGAATTATCTGTGTGAAGTTTGTGGTAATATATTTTTTCAAGTAACTCAAACCAATTTTTCCTTTCACTTTCATTATGAGCTTGCTGGTTACTTATTTCATTAGATTTTCTCTTATTTCTTTGAGCTCTGTTTAATTTAATTTCTGGCCTAACATATTCATATGTAATTTTTAAAGAAAACTTTTCCGGTGGTAAGTCAAATACATGATGTAAATTTATTTTGAAAAATGGGTGAATGATTTCATGATTTTTTGCCAATTGTAAATATTGCAAATAACTGTTTTTAAATGGAACCTTTTCATTACAGAATTCGAGATAAATTGAGCAAATAGAATTAAAGGCGCCGATAGTCAGTCCCTCCGGAACTTCTCTGTCTGGAGTTTTCTGTAATTTTAAGTCCACCCAAATTCTCGATTCGAAAATGTCATCAAAGCATTTCTGTGTTACCTCAGAATTAGGACCATAATTTTTCAGAATCCAATAATAAAGATTGGAGTTAACAGATAACGATCTAATTTTCTGCGTTGATTTAATTGTCTCATAGTTAAACTTGAATCCAACTTTATAATGATCTAATGCACTTTTTAGAGCTTCGATAGGTTGATCGATTTTGTCAATTAAAAATTCTAACAAGTCTGTTTTCTTGAGATTCCTTTCGGGTTTAATTGCTTGAATAAGACAGGAACTTGCAAGTTCCGATTTTGATAAGTTACGAATTACTTGAGATGAATTCTGAATTACTTGAAATGATTCCATTAGGAGGTCACCTATTTCATTTAACCTATGTTCGAACAAATGTAATGCTTCTTCCATAACATTAGATGTTAATTGAAATCCTAGTTCAGTAAGATGTTTTAAACGATCTACAATAGTACGTACGTCAGGACATTCCCAATTATTTGGCGGAGTAGGAGGGAAAAAAATCAATAAGGCTCCTTGCATTACAAGTTCATTGACATCGCTACAAATCTCACGATAACCAATTTCTTTCCACAAGATTACTAAATCAGGATGGATTAATATTGCTCTAGCCACTACATTAAGTTGACGACTGTTCTCATAACCATCTTTTGGTGGATATTCTTCATGAGCTCTGGCTTGTATCAATTGAATGTATTCTACTGTATCTTCATATGTAGGTTTTGGGCGTGGTGGAAATGGGACAAATTTTTTTTTCAAAATTAAATCTTTAATGAGATTAAGATTTTGACGAAGCTTGTCAGGCGCGTGATTGATAACAAGGGGACCAGCTGATAAAAAGTGAAATAACTCCATATCATTTCCTTTAGTTGCAAGTTCAGGATCATTCAAGATGTTATATCCCTCAGTAATTAGTTTGGTGAAAATCTCTAAAGAAATATTACTTCCCCAAGGTGAAGATAATTTTTTTTGAAGAGCGCGAAGTCTATCATAATCGATTTGATTTACATTATGTTCGACTTTAAGTTTAATAAGATTTTCATCATAGCTGCCAAAATGCATTAATAAACGTTGAACGAAATATCTAGAAAGTATCGCATTTTTCGAAATTAAAGCCTGGATCACTTCGATTGTGATGAAGCTATTGCCGAACCTCACAGCGTGAAAGAATGCATGCGCTCTACCATATTTATAAATTAACCATTTGGCTCTGGCATGAGGGTCTTGAGAAATATTATACCATTTACGACTTGAAACTAAAAGGTTGATGGGATTTGGTATACATTTGAATATTTCAATGCTTAATTCGTTATATATTGACTGCATATTAAAATCTTATATCAATATATCAAGGTACACAGACCTTGGGACTCGAAAAAAATTTTTTTTTTTATGTTGCTTTTATATATAAAAAAAATTTCTTGAAGTAAAAAATATTATTTAAAATGTATAAATTTTAGGACTCTTGTTTTGGGAGGGGGCGCAGCAAGTGATAAAAAATATAAAAAGACCTTTTTTTTTTGTAGGTTCCAAAAGTAATCGTATTTATTAAAATTTCGTCTGTTCAAGTGTGACGACGTATGACAAACCTGAGTTGTCGCTGAGTCACAAGTCACGATAGTCAAGCTTTCAACTTTTATTAGCAAAAAATTTAGTGGAAATTTATGAAAATTCTTGAATGCAGATCAATCATTGACATTCTTACACCAACTAAATGACCCGACAAAAAAAAAAAAAAAGATTTGAGCGAGTTTGTGTTTGAGACTAGTTAATCAGATACGAAAAGTTCCCGAAAAATTTTATTTACAATTTACTCTATGAAACCAAATTTATGACATTAGGGGAAAAAAATGCAAAGTTTATTGGAAGTTGATATAGGAAACTTCTCTTCAGAAGTAAAAAAAAAAAAATTTTGGCGATATTTTTAGTGAAATTTATATTTTTTCCGAATTTTCTCCGGAATTTCCAAAGATGATCAAAAAAAAAAAAAAAATATGTACATTGTATTGTTTTATAATAAATATTTATTTTTAAGCTTTCAAATATACCAAAGTTGGAATCTTTTTCATGTCAAACTAGGACGCATTTGCATTAAATCATTTTTAAAAAAAAATTCGTGTAAAACAAATAGAACAAAATAGTCTCTATATACGTTCTTGGTCAACGTATTGAGTACCTTTAAAAAAAAATTTGTTAAAGGAATTAAAGTTAATAAATGAAATATTAAAAAAAAAAAAAATTATTGTAATTATTTTACCGGTAATTTTTCTAGCAGCCGTTCTTGTTCTAACCATCCATTGGCCATTCGGCATAGCCAAATAAAAATTCGAATAATCAGGACTTGTCTGTCGTGAACTCGTTTCAACAGTATTAATTTGTTTATATTTCATAATGTTTAATTCACGATCAGATAAATTTTCTCTAAGCTGATAACCGTCACCATTTTGTTGATAATATTGTTCTATAGTCTCGTTGCTAGATAAATTTTGTTGATGGTTG